ATCACCAACAACAACTGCAACACAACCACATCTACTCACAGCATTATCAGCAGCAACAGCCTCATCCGCACACGGCGACAGCAGTGCTGTCATCATCGTCTCTACCAACAGCTTCCTCATCGTTTCTTGCTGAGTGCGCTAATAGTAAAATGTTGCGGTAGCAGATCATGTGACAGGACTTGCTCAAGCCTTAGATTTATTATTATAGAGCAGTAGTATAAGGTAAGGCCCACGATTCCTATTTGTTTCCGAAATTCTGTCGTGGCTCCCAAACTTTTTAAATAACATATTTAACAAATATAAGTCTGGATGAGAATCCCACCGACACACAAAAAAAAGGGTTTCAATTTTGTGTGTGTTAAATGACATCACAAATTCCCTTAACCCTGTCTCCCTGAGAAGACTAAAATCGACTTACTGTTGTAACAAAGTCCTGCAAATGATGACATGTCAACCAGTCTGCATTGTCCTGTTCTCAAAAAGTATAGTTAATTACATTGGTTCTGTGTGCACCTGTGCAGTGTTTGATTCAAAGACCAGGACATGAACTTAGTAACTAAAAAGTGTTTTTATTATTATTGGGGTGGGGGGGGGGGGGAGAGTTCTTTGTGATCCCAATGGCATTTTGTAACCAAGTTGATGTCAGATTCTCCCATAAGCTTCAATGATAGAGGTCAGGGGGTAGTGCCTCTTCCTCCCTCCCCAGGTTGAAAACAACTGCTCTAAACTCAGTGGTGTTAAGTGCACATTGTTAGCTCTCTGTGCAGATATTTTGGGCTTACTTCACATCAGCGCTGAATGCTATCTTTACCTTGAAGATGTCCTGTGATGAATCTCAGACACTCTGTGTTCTGTGCCAGCTTCTTTTAGTGCATTTCTTGATGTTGTCGCTCACAAGTAGATGATGTCTATCTCACAAGTAGATGATGTCTGTCTCACAAGTAGATGATGAAGTGTAGGCTTGTTGGAAATTGTTGATAGCTCACTCAGTAGAATTTGTGCTCACCACTCTTTACTGCTCACATTGAGTCACATACTTCATGGCTGGGACGAAATCATAACTCCCCACAGCTGGGAGGGAATCATAATTTCCCACAGCTGGGAGGGAATCATAATTTCCCACAGCTGGGAGGGAATCATAACTCCCCACAGCTGGAAGGGAATCATAACTCCTCACAGCTGGGAGGGAATCATAATTTCCCACAGCTGGGAGGGAATCATAACTCCCCACAGCTGGGAGGGAATCATAACTCCTCACAGCTGGGAGGGAATCATAACTCCCTACAGCAGGGAGGGAGGAACACTTTGTGATCAAATTGTGTATAACTACTGCAATATATTTAATCATTGAGGTATGGGCTTCAGCCTCGACTGAAACACCGCTAGATATTTATTCCTGGATCACCCGGATATTTCACCAACTTCTGATCACAATGTACAGCTTCACAGAGTAGAGATGGGAGTCACTTGATCTGTGTACAGTATTTTTATTGTGTGTCTGTGAGAGAGAGAGAGAGAGAGAGAGAGAAGGAAACTAGATAAGAGAGGAAGGGAAGAGTATATTTAAATCTGATAAGATGTGCAGCTCCTCATTTCCGTCATAATTCAAGCTTTACTTAGTTTGTTGCATGTCATTTAAGGACGTTGCAGAATCAACTCCAGCATTTTTTTTTTTGGGCTGTGATTTCACTAGGCAATTTATGTTCATTAGTTTGCCATTGCTTTCTAAACGGTCGGCTTTTGATACCGCTGTCGAAACCAATGCAAGGCGGTCTGCTGCGAAATCACCCACAGCTGGGATTGAATGCAGGACTCTCAGAGTTACGAAATGTGTTTGCAATGCCTAAGCTGCAGACTTCAAACTGGCCACCTGTGATTAACATGAAAACATGGACCTGAGGTCCTGGCCAACCTTCCTTCAGAGTTCAGACCTAAGACAGCACCAACAGATTAAAGGTTCTACCTCGGCAAGGCTTTTGTTATGAGCTGAGGTGCCCAGATATCTGCCTCATTTCTGACTTCACTTATGGCACCTGAGATTAAACATCTTCTTCTCTCATCCTCCTGGTCTGCCTTTCAGTGTCAGGTTTTGAAGATGCTGCTAGTGCCAGCCTTGGTGTGTGCTGTATAGATGCTGGTTTTCATGGCCTCAGATTTGTCTCAGTGTGCAGTTCATGTGATGACTGGCTGTGTTGGAATGAGTTATGAATGTTGGTTTAATCTGTGCATGCTGCCTGTTGTCCATATTGTTGTCCAGAGAACTGTCTGTGGACCACAGCTTATGCACTTTCTGTACCTACCGGAATTGTCCTGTTGCATTGTGTAAATAAATGACTGTCTCACAGCAGCTTCAGGTGGTTGTGTGTTGAGTTTTTGCTGGGGGGGGGGGGGGGGGGGAAGTGTGTGTGAACATAGTTGGGAAGAGAGTGTGTGAAGTTGTGCATTTCAAATCAGAGAGGAGTGAGTTAGTTGAGAGGTAGATGAAGTTGAGATAGGTGGTGGTTAGAGAGTATATGAATATAATTAGTTGTACTGTTGAGTTGGTGAGAGGTGGAGAGTTGAGATAGTATATGTCATTATATTCTTGAGGGGGGGGGTATATGAAGTTGTACTGTTGTGTTGGTGAGGAGAGAATATATGAAGTTGTACTGTTGTGTTGGTGAGGAGAGAATATATGAAGTTGTACTGTTGTGTTGGTGAGAAGAGAATATATGAAGTTGTACTGTTGTGTTGGTGAGAAGAGAATATATGAAGTTGTGCTGTTGTGTTGGTGAGGACAGAATATATGAAGTTGTACTGTTGTGTTGGTGAGAAGAGAATATATGAAGTTGTACTGTTGTGTTGGTGAGAAGAGAATATATGAAGTTGTGCTGTTGTGTTGGTGAGGACAGAATATATGAAGTTGTGCTGTTGTTCGTTGGTGAGAATTCTATGATAGTATGAGTTGTTCTGTTTTGGTGGAAGAGATATATGAAGTTGTGCTGTTGTGTTGGTGAGGAGAGAATATATGAAGTTGTGCTGTTGTGTTGGTGAGGAGAGAATATATGAAGTTGTATTGTTGTGTTGGTGAGGAGAGAATATATGAAGTTGTTCTGTTGTGTTGGTGAGGAGAGAATATATGAAGTTGTACTGTTGTGTTGGTGAGGAGAGAATATATGAAGTTGTTCTGTTGTGTTGGTGAGAAGAGAATATAAGAAGTTGTGCTGGTGTGTTGGTGAGAAGAGAATATATGAAGTTGTGTTGGTGAGGAGACAAAATATGAAGTTGTACTGTTGAGTTAATGAGAGGTGGAGATAGTATATGAGGTTGTATTGTGGGGGAGGGGGAGAATATGAAGTTGTATTGTTGGTGAGAACGAGAATATATGAAGATGTGCTGTTGTGTTGGTGAGAAGAGAATATATGAAGTTGTACTGTTGTGTTGGTGAGAAGAGAATATATGAAGTTGTATTGTTGTGTTGGTGAGGAGACAAAATATGAAGTTGTACTGTTGAGTTAATGAGAGGTGGAGATAGTATATGAGGTTGTATTGTGGGGGAGGGGGATGAAGTTGTTGAGAACGAGAGAATACATGAAGCTGTGTTGGTGAGAGGTGAAGATAGTATATGTTTTTGTATTCTTGAGGAGGGAAAGAGTAGATGAAGTTGTGTTGGTGAGGGATGTAGAGAGTAGATGAAGTTGTGTTGGTGAGGGATGTAGAGAGTAGATGAAGTTGTGTTGGTGAGGGATGTAGAGAGGTTGTATTGTGGGGGAGGGGGTGTGAGAAGTATTGTTGTAGAGAACGAGAAGATATTGTGTTGTGTGTTGGGTGATGTAGAGAGTAGATGAAGTTGTGTGGTTGGTGAGGATGTATAGAGAGTAGATGAAGACAAAATATGTTGTGTTTAATGAGGGATGTAGAGAGTAGATGAAGTTGTGTTGGTGAGGGATTGTAGAGACGAGAGAATAGATGAAGTTGTGTTGGTGAGGGAGAAGATAGTAGATATTCTTGAGGAGTTGTATATGAAGTTGTGTTGGTGAGGGATGTAGAGAGTAGATGAAGTTGAGTTGGTGAGAAGGGGCAAAACACTGGAGAGAGAATAAACAGTTGTACCCGGGGGTCACAGAGGAGTGGAGGCTGGAACTCCCAATGTAGTAGAACTGACACTATCAACAACCATTACTAGTTGATTTTAAAAATATTTTAATCAAACTGCAAAGATTTATGAAACATACTTTATTGCATGTAAAAGGGACAGAAGAAGCTGTGGTGTAGCGGCTAGATGCTCGCCTGTGGATGGGAGGGTCATGGGTTCGGATCCTGGCAGAGCCAGACCTTTTTTTTTTTTCAAAAATACCCTTGCCTTCCAAGTCAACCCAGCTTCCTGGGAAGTAAAGGTGGCTTGGTCTATAAAATATAGGCTGCAGCCTTATATGCCCAATACACCTGATGGCATGGAAAAAGGGTCCTTTACTTTACTTATTAGAGACAGAAACCAAACAAATACTGTTGCAATCATCATCCTGTACCACGACGATAAGCTGTGGCTCAACTATGAGACCAATACAAATGAAGCTGGATGGTATGGGGGGAATATATCAACTAATCCTGAACCTAGATCTGTGGAGATACATAAATGACTACACCATCCAGTGAGGCATATGATGATGATGATGAACAAATGTAGACAGGAAAGGGTTCATCAACAATCTTCGTATATTGTTCTCCCTTTTTTTTAATGCACTTATTTTCCCACAATAAGATTCAAATAACCCAGACTCTTCATCTTCCTACAATCCAGAACTCAAAACAAAACAACTCACACGCTAGTCTTCCTACAAATCCAGAACTCGTACAACTCACATACTCATCTTCCCCCCAATTTCATAACTAATCACACAACTCACTCATATAACACAGATACTTGTTTTCCCACCAGTCAAAAACTCACACATACAACATACACTTTTGTCTTCCCCCAAATCCACAACACATTTACACAACTCACACAATTCCACAATTTACTCATACAACTCAAAGTCCATCCTCGACGAGTTGTAAAACTGGCCATTTGACTGATATTTCCGACAAAAGACTCCATCGTTAAAGGTTCCGTCCTCCGCCCACGAGATCATCTGTAATGTTGTGAACGGCCCTTTAATCTCAGAATCATCAGTGTTCTTAATTTTGTACTCCCACATGATGCTAGTGTGTTCCGTAATTTCTACTTCCTGTTTGGAAGACTCGCCTGTACAGAAAACAAAATAAATTATCATAGAAAACATCATACAAAATAAATTACAGTAGGAAATGTCATACATAAATTATCATAGGAAACATAAGAAATAAATTATCACGGGAAACGTACAAAATAAACTGTGGCAGGAAATGTCAACATTATGACAAATGGAAAGATCAGGGGAGTGAGGCGAGAGGCGAGACCAAAAGAGAGGATGCTGGATAATGAGCTAACACGATGGCATGGAGGGATATCATCAAGAGAGCTATTCTAGGTAACCAGGGATCGTGATGCATGAGCCCCTATGCCAGTTGGCAGGTCACATGATGATGATGAGGAACATCCTAAAAAATAAATGATCACAGAAAACATACATAATAAATCACCACAAAAAAATGTAATAGAAAACAAATTCCTACATTTATCATACATTTTTATATTATTTTTCGAAATATACAAAGATATATACAAAAGGAGTAGCCAATCAATATCAACAGGGTGTAGCATTAATGGAATACAGCTGGGGCCTGAAAACGACACTCAGTGGGTGACTCATGCCGTGACCCAATGACCTCTATCACTGAGGCTTACAAGAAAATCTGCAGTCAATGTGGCCTTAAAATAGCCATAGACATTTACTATTAGTAAATGTATTCACATCCTGACCTCCTAAATGTTTTCATAGGTGGGAGCTCAGTCAACAGCATTAACTATGCATCTGTAAACAGGTCACGATAAACGAGTCGGAAAAGTGACATTTATGGGGAATCTGGACCCAACTGCAAGTGTCGATTTCTCAGCTCCTCAGGGCAAAAGTGTTAAGAGGCAATAGATAATTCTTTGTTTCTGTTTCTTCTAAAAAAAAAGGGGTCACAGAATCACCCTGCTTACATTTACTGATATATTTTTTTTTCTCTCAACATCTCTGTGTTGAAAGTTTCTCTAGATTTCATCTGCTCTGGGGAGTTCCTGAAAAAATATATTCTAGTTATTCTATTATACATAATCTGTGAACAGCAAAAAACTAATGACTCACCTCCAAGCTCCTCTACTTTGCTGGAGTCGCCAGTCTCATCAGGTTTAGACTCTGTGCTCCCTGGAGTACCTTTAATTTTATCAGCCTCTTTTGAGTCGAAGTCTTCAGCGAACATGTCCAGGCCATCATCTACTTGCATGCTCTCAGCTACTGTCAGTTTGGAATTCTGGGATTAGAAATAAATATGATAAAGGAAGACATTTCCCAGACTTTTAATAATATGCAAGCAAACAGAATTACTCTTATTCTAGAAGAACACATTAAGATGTGATGTAATGGTATTTTCACACGGGGATTCCCTGGGGAATAATGTGAGGGGAAAATCTCGAGATACAACAGAAAAATTGGATAATGCAAATACTCGTAGAAACATGAGGTGCTCGATCAGGGTAGACGAGCCTGTGAAGCCACGTGGAGCCCAGCACAAAGTTAAAAGATTAGACAAAGATCTAATCAGACAGTATGTGTTTGCCAGCCAGAGCAAAAGGGTGTATCTTCAGCGTGAATGTAAGAGTGTATTTGGCGACGTGAGGAGTTCTGTTCTGAGAGCAGACAACAAGATGACAATCTGACCCGAAGTGGCATCCAACCAGTTTCAGATTGCTCAAGACGTTGAACCACCATGCTTAGAACTGCCGGAGCAACCATAGCGTGTATTCTGAATGTGAGGAAGGATGACTGAGAGGTATTGAGTGCAAACGAGAGAATACTCCAAGTTGATGTCTGAACAATGTCATATTATAATGCTGAACATGCTAGTTCGTAGTGGACACTGACTGGACAAATGGTATGTGAAATTGTAATAAAGTATATAATTGAGATATTGTTTTCTTGTACCTCCTGTGTCTACTTAGAGTGTCAATCATGTCTTCTCATACCACCTGTGTCTACTTAGAGTGTCAATCATGTCTTCTCATACCACCTGTGTCTACTTAGAGTGTCAATCATGTCTTCTTGTACCACCTGTGTCTACTTAGAGTGTCAATCATGTCTTTTCGTACCACCTGTGTCTACTTAGAGTGTCAATCATGTCTTCAATAAGAACAAACCCCTAGAAACCAGTGAAGACATGGAGGAGACAATGTCCCAGAGAACCAACAACCTCTCATCATGAATTTTTTTTTTTTTTTTAATAATTTCAAGAAGTCCTTTGAGAGCTTACACACAGAACTTCACTATGGGGAATTTTGGAACGCTTTGGGATACCAGCCAAAATAATATGCATTATTAGAAATGTATACCATGGTTCAGAATGTCCAGTGTGCACTCAAAATGGTCTAAGTGACTGGTTTTTGGTGGAAACGAGCGAAACAAGGCTGCTTTCTATCTCCATTGTTGTTCGGAGAAGTCACTGTTTAGGTAATGAAACAATTTTGTAATGACAAAATTGGCATTAACTGGGTAGAGAAAAGACAACTGGAAGATCTGGATTTCACAGATGATATTATTCTGTTGAGTAAAAATAACAAAGACATACAAAGAAAAACAGACAATCTGTCATCTGCAGCATTAAAAATAGGACTAGAAATAACTAAGAAAACAAATATATTAAGATACCAACAACAGATCATGTAGATGTCCTGCTAGAGAACAAACCAATAAAAGTAACCAACAATTTTATCTTTTTGGGCAGCAATTTTGACTCTCAAGGGATACAACTAAATCTTTTTATATCATTTTGGAATTCTCCCCATATGAGTTCCAGGGACTGAATTTGGCGACGGGAAGGGGGGACAGATCCATATCCATCAACAACCATTTGTAAAAGTAGACCAATTATGGATGTTTCCTTCTGTAAGAGAGCATCTGCCTGAGAGGCAAGGAACCAACAGTCTGCATACAAATAGGCCAGATCTGTAAAACAGATGTGAGTGGCGGGATCAAGGTCCAGAGGTTGATGAAAATACTTTTCGCTGGAGTTTATAGCGTGAACGTAAAGAAAAAAAAAGATAAATTATATTTCTCAGTCTGCCTGCCTGCCTACCTGTCCAGCTACCCACCTACAACCCAACCATATCCTAGCTCTCAACCACAATACAATGTGCCAACCACCCTTTTAAAGGCAAACACCGAAGAGGAAGAGCTGGGTAGGTAGGTAGCAAGGTAGGTAAGTAAACTGTTACATGAACACAAAATGCTTTACTGATAAAATACAATTGCGATCTGAAAGAAGTGTGATTGAAAGAGCCAAATGTAAGATGGGCCTGCGTGCCCAATTTGTGGCATTTGGTAATAAAGTTTGTTCAATAATCTATCTAACTATTTAATCCAAATAATTTTAAAAAAACTACAGAATCCAGAATAATACCTGGTCCTTCTGTTTCAGCTGCTTCAAGGTGAAGGCTATCCGCTCATACGGAGTTTCATAAATATCAATAACACCCTGCTGAACCAGTTTGTCACAGAGCTCTGTCAGATGCAGCATCTCCTTCTGCTCCTCAATTGCTTTGTTCACCGCCTCTTGGTCTTCCTCCTTGTTGTCAGAGGTCTTTTGTTTCTTTTTCTGGATGAAATTTTAGAAGACAAATGATTTACCTAAAAGTCACAGACGAGGAAACAAAAGGAAAAATCAGAACAAGAAAAATGCTTGTCTGCAACACGGGTCCTTTACTCTTAATGTTTCACTTATTTATACTGTGAAGGTTAGAGATAAGTGAATGCACATCATGTAAGCTTGAAAGAAACTTGGTCTCTCGACAGCTCTCCCACCTTGTGTACTTACATATTCCAGGAGTCACTTATATCCTTTGCCCATCCTCGTGTTGGTCGGCCCCCGCCTCTCCTTCCTGCTACCATGCCTTCTGCTAATATTTTTTTCTAATCTGCCATGGTGCAAATTTATTTCCTCTTGAAGTTTCAGTTTCAAGCCACAAACCAAAGAAACTTTAGACAGTATGATTACCAAGAGAAGATGGAAATGGCTTGGCCACGTTATGAGAATGACTTCTGATATACCTGCCAAAACAGCTCTCACACCAGAGGGAAAGAGAAAACAGGGGCACCCAAAAACAACATGGAAACGAACGATGGAAAGTGACCTGAGTGCGGCATCTTTGACATGGAAAACTGCACTGAAGATTGCACAGGACAGGAAAGCATAGAAAGTCCTCTCTGAAGCCTCATGTGCCACTAGGCATAACGAGAACTGATGATGATGGTGCATATTTCAGCTTCCGAGAACTGATGGTGTTTATTAGCCAATCTTCTTTGATGTTCAGATCTTTTCAACGGTCAATATTTCTCCTCTTCTTGGTCATGGTATTCTGAGAATTTTTCTATAGCATTTCACCTCAAAAGCCATTTTTATTTTCTTTCTTAAGGACTGGGAGATAGTCGACGACTCACATCTGTATGTTGCTACCGAGAAGATGCATGTTCTCAAAATTATAATTTTGATTTCCTTGCTGGTGCTTAACAAAAGACTTGTAATGTTGTTTAATCTTTGCACTGCTACGGCCAGTGAATGCACTGGATTTTTTTAATGATCCCAGAGTTCCAGAGTTCAATTTCCGAGGTGGGCAGCTATTTTGTATTTTAAACTATTCTCGTAGTTTTCGCACATTTATACGGAGTTGCAACATGGAAGAGATTAAAGTCAATAAAGATGACAGTGGATGCACTGTGGCCAACTTTCATTGTGGAGACGCCTTAGAAATTTTATTTATGACTCTGTGGCTCGAGGTTGTGAGCATAGTTTCAATATCTGATATACTGGTTTCTTCTTTTTTATTATTATTATTAGCCTTTACCTACTGTAAAGTCCAACGGAAAGTTCTGTTGTTCGTCCACTCCAAGACTTTTGTTTTGATCCGTAATTTGTGCTTTTGGTGCACATCTGTTTTACAGATCTGGCAGAATGTTAGTTCCTCACCTCCCATGCAGATACATTCCAACTTCAGAGAAAACACCCTAATTACCAGACTTTTAAAACACGCTTGCTAGGGAAACAATGGGTCTATTCTCCTCTCCCCCACAACAGACTCCTGGAACCAAAATGGAAAAGACATATACAACTTTACAGTGAACAGTCATAAAGCAAAAATGCACACACAAGAATAAATATAAACATACCCTCCATTTCTGGCTCGCAGACGGAATCTTGTCCTTGTTTTTCGCCAGTCGCCGTATTGCCTTAGCCACTGTCTCACCCTCCTGTAGAATCTTCATAATTTCTTCGTAGGTGGCGATGTTGTCTGCCCGTTTCTTCTCAGCACTGTCTTCATCGTCAGACTCATCACCAGACTAATGAAGATAACAGTACAAGATCTTATAACAAATATTTTAATTGATTAATGATCAGGTGATTAATCAGAAGGAGAAAACTGGTGTACATAGTAAGAGTAGGAAAGTTGGAAGAGAGGAGAGGCAGAGGGAGACCAGGAGAAAAGATGCTGGACAGTCTGACATCATGGCAGGGAGGGAGGATCATCTGTGTCAGAGTTGACTGAAAGTACACGAGACAGAAGGTTGTGGATAGACATGACTACCAACGCCACACGGCATGGACTATGGAAGATCATCTGTGTCAGAGTTGACTGAAAGTACACAAGACAGAAGGTTGTGGATAGACATGACTACCAACGCCACACGGCATGGACTATGGAAGATCATCTGTGTCAGAGTTGACTGAAAGTACACGAGACAGAAGGTTGTGGATAGACATTACTGCCAACGCCACAGGGCAGGGACTCCTGAGAATAGCTGCAGAAATGACCAGAAGAGATCAAATCATCAATGAGGCCATAAGAGAAAAAAGCCAGCATAAAACCAATTCTACATTATATCCAAAGACTGCAAATGAAATGGTTTGTCCTCTCTGGTTGGGCTCCGGGGCCCCATTGTGAGGAAAACGAGTCAGACCCAATGCCTTCCCAAAAAGTATGTTTAAGACTAAATGGGAGCTTCCCTCAAAGTCTGAGCGTATTTGCCTGAGAGGCAAGGAACCAACAGTCTTGTTCTTGATGCTGTCATTCCATATTTTGTATGGTCTTTCCCTGCTTTGTTAAATTTCTTCAGCGTGACTCTCTGTGGCAGCTGGTACCAGGGCATTCTCGTCAGATGACCAAACCACCCCCGCTTGAAAGAGAGGCTTTCATGTGATGGCAGTGACCCTTTATAAAGCATCTGCTGGTTGATAATGAGGGCAAGCGATGTTTAACCCCACAAGGACAGCACAACGAGCGGTGACACAAAGCCCCACCATTCGGATGAGAATCCCCCTGGGCACAAGCCCCAGAAACCCCCATTCAATCATCAGGTTATATTAGAGCCCCTGACAACCGCCAGAATGGGGCTTTAAAATAACCCCAAAAACTGCGCCCCGTACTGGGTGAAGATATATGCTACTGATGATAAAGACTTTCTTTGTCAGTTTTATTTACGTGAATAAACAAATAAAATTTATCTTCTTCTTTTGCCCTAAAAAGGCAGCCGGCGTACTGTTGTGGTTTACGCCAAGGCTGCGATGTCTACGTTTTTCATCCCAACATATCTGATTTCAGCAAACCCCTAATTAGTCGTCTTTTACAACATAATGGGTTCTTTTATTTTATTTCACCCCAACTCTAGGTCTCCAAGGTTTTGCGGGGAATTCCTGGGAAAGTTCCATAGTGTATAGGGGGAAGATTAGGGTTAGCTGGCGTTCATTTCGCATGAACGAACGAAAGTAACACATAGTGAAAATAAAGATGCAACTAACACTTAAAACTACGGACATATTCACACAGAAAGAAAGTTAGCTGCACAGACATTCAAACAAAAGCAAGAAGTTGTGCACTTTCATGTGGAAGACCGTTTGTCGACCCAGTGCACACATTTTTTCGCACACTGTATGAACATTAAAAAAATTCATCTGAGAACACTATGGGACTTTTCTCGGGATTTCCTAGGAATTCTCTAGGAAATTTCAGAGCCCCTGAGATAGGGTGAAATAAAAGCATAGAACTCATTGTGCGTGCTTATTAAAAGGCAGTGGTCCATTCTTTCTTCTTATAATGGGGTCCCGGGACCCATATGGTGGAAAGAAATGTATGACTGCATAAAGTAATAAAGATAGGGGGCAACTCACCTCATACTGTTGTTGCTTTTTGGCCTCCTCTGGGTTCAGATGTTTCACCTTCACCCAGTCAATGTTATCAATCCAGTTGTCCTTAATATCCTGTGGATAAATTCAGGATATTTTCAAATTGTGTCAACCCAATTTCTTTAATTATACGATATATTGATCCCCGTTTGGCTTCCAGGAATCCAGTGTGAGGAAAACAAGAATACACCCGCTGCCTACCCACAAAATCAAAAGGCATGACAAAAGAGTCGACTAATTGGGAGCTTTCTTTGAGGATGCAGTGCATCTGCCTGAGCAGCAAGAAATAACCACATGCGCACAAGCCAATACAATAAATGTATACGCAAAACTCAGGCCCTGGCACAAAGTCTAAATTGACAAACAAGATCAAATAAAACATCCTCCTACATCACAAACACCCCATACAACATGCATCACCAACAGTATACAACATCCTTCACCAACACCACATACAATACCATTCACCAACATCACATACAACCCCATATACATCAAACAAAACACCCTTCACCAAAACCATGGAAACATGGTTTACAAATAACATCAGGTAACAATATTTTAACATCCTACCTTAGATTTATCAAAGATGTAAGTACCATCAGAGTCAAAGTGCCCCTCCTCCAGCTCCTCCCGCATATTGAAAGGAGTGATCTGAATATTGTCATCAAATTCTATTGTGGCTTCTTCCTGACCTGGGAACACAAGAAATATCAATCAATTAGGCAATCAAGAATTGGCAGCAATGCACTCAGGGAATTCCCACAATGCACCATTCCTTTCCTCGGCAGCCAGTGAAGAGTTTCCATTCTGATGGTGCCAGCTGCTTTTTCTTAACCCTTTGAAGATGATGCGGCCGAAACACTGGCCTGACACAAAGTAGCCAAAAGGACGACTGGGCCTTGAGATTGGCTGGCAGGTTTTCGTACCAGCTAATCGGATCGCTCCCTGCATTTCTTGCACATGTGGGCTGTTCACTGAAGGCTTTCGAGAAAGTTTTTAGTGTTCATAAATTTACATCAATTTCTCACTGAGGTTACCTGTGCCCAACAATGGCGAAAAGGACTGTTATGTCATAGCAACCGAAACATAACTGGAAGCAGGAAAATGAGTAGAACCATGTGCCAGAAAGGCCTTACTTCAAAAAACACAAGTGTTAGGACTTATTCAAGCTTCATCCATCAAAATATTCATCCAAAACTTTTAGGTTAGTCATGTTTGTTCCTAAGTTTAAAAAAATGCTTGCATAAATTATGTAAATCAGAAATTAATTTGAATAAATGTTGAGATTTTAGTTTGATTTATAAATATTCTGTAAGCTTATTTAGTTTCCTACACATATATATATATAGGCTCTCCTCCGAACTTCTACCCTCGCATTATGGCGGCAGCAAATATCCATACGGGGCTCAGTTCTATTAAAAATATGCCGGCTCTGTATAACGAAATAAATGCCCTAACAGGGTTTCAGCGATATGTTACTTGCGGACCTGTTTCTGTGACTATGCCTCACCGCCGACCGTATTCCCAGCGCTGCGCATAGCGGCGCGGATGGGGGCTAAACTAGATGGCTGGGACTCATGAACAGCAGCTACCTCATCTCCTGCAACTTCCTCCAATAAATTTGCTCATGAGTCCCAGGCACCTAGTTTAGCCCCCCATCAGCGTTTTGCGCATGATGACAAGTTTGAGGACAACAACGACGCTAATTTGCGTCGGCGCACGTGGACTTCCCACGCCATGCGGCTTTTATCATCAGTAATGATGCGTGTCTTGAAATTGTCCATGGTCGCTAGTATCATCTGATACTATCGTCTGCAGTGTTGTGTCTCTAAAAATTTTCAGGTAATCATAGTTTTGCCGCGATTTGTTCGATGCGCTAAGTTAACATATTTTTCATAGCACTGAGGCCCTGTTAGGATATTTATTTGGCCACCATAATGCCGGGTTAGAAGTTCGGAGGAGAGCCCCCATAAACTATGAGAATCCTATCCTATCCTGAAGGCTTCGTGAACTTCGTCTTTTTGGCACTGAAACTCCAGAATAAGAAGGCTGCGTCTCCAGGGGGTTACCGGTAAGCAGGTGGGTCTTGCTGGTCACAATCGCCATCGCCATGGACTGTTGGTCTTATACCACCTTACTGCTCACAACAGAATAATATTATTATACTAACATCATTACAGTCAGTATGATACTGAGTATCGTCTGGAAAGGAAAGGTACCGAATATTAATTATTAAAATAATGTAATAATGATAAACTTAAAATTAAAAAAATAATGGTCCCCGACCACGGCACCTTCGATATCATCTTCCGCTAAAACATCGTATTTAACTTCGTCATCTTCTTCGTCACTGTCCAAGGAATGTTTCTCCTTGAATCGAGTGGCCTTTTCGATGCTTTCGTCTAAATTATCAGCCATTTGTCTTCGACGTTCAAGATAAGTTTTTCTCTTATGTATTTTCTCCGCCGAGTTGTTATCAACTTCTTCAGAGTTATCCGCCCTAGTTATCGTTCCGGAATACGGACTTGTTTCTGAGTCTCTTGTTTCTTTGTATCATTTTTATCTGTTTCTGTTTAACCAGAACAGAACATTCGCATCAGTAGTGCCCATTGTGTGGAGAAACAAGAATAGACCTACCTCCATCCCAAACAAGCATGTCGTAAGAGTCGACTAATGGGGGTGCTTCTTTCAAAGTCGGAGTACCTCTGCCTGAAATACCAACAGCTTACATACAAAAAAGCCAGATGTTTAAAACGGGTATGTACGTAAACGCCAAGTTCTGAAATAGGACTCAAAGTCCAGAATTGGTCGAACAATTAGAACTTTTTACCGGAATTCATAGCAGGTGAAGAAAAAGAAAAAAAAAAGATATAAATGACAAAATATAGCACCTTGCCCCCTTTCAAAATTATTTGGTTGGGGTCTCAATTCGCCCCCCCCCCCCACCCCAACCCCCTTGTTAAATATTATGGGTGGGGGAACTTAAGGACATGAGACACCCACCACCACCCATTTTATTGTCTTGAAAATGTGTCCGGTGGTGGGTAGGGGAAGGGGTGGTTTCAGATTTAAAAATGTTTTCTTATTTATTCGCAAAGGGGGGGGAGGGGAGGGGTCACTCAAAGGGTCTAAACCCCCACAAATTTTTGCCCTAGGGTTGAAGATGTCGTGTGGGTCAAAGGTCCATGCCCGCAATTTTCTCCCCCCCCCCCCCCCCCCCCCCCGATTGTTAACTAGAACAGTAACTGTTGGGGAGAGGGGTTAATTTGGTTGATGAATGTTTTCTTCGTGGATGCACCCATGTGCTTAACTACTTGTTATGGATACTACTACTACTACTACTACTACTACTACTACTACTACTACTACTACTACTACTACTACTACTACTACTACTACTACTACTACTACTACTACTACTACTACTACTACTACTACTACTACTACTACTACTACTACTACTACTACTACTACTACTAGTACTACTACGCTTGCTACTGATACTACTACTGTTGCTGCTACTTCTATTACTACTGATACTGCTGCTGCTGCTGCTACCACTACGAAAAATATGAAGGAGGGGGTGAGAAGAAGAAGAAGAGAGAGGAGGAGAGGAAATGTTGATCAGAATGAGGAGAATGAGAAGCAGAAAAAGAAGAAGAAGAAGAAGAAGAAGAAGAAGAAGAAGAAGAAGAAGAAGAAGAAGAAGAAGAAGAAGAAGAAGAAGAAGAAGAAGAAGAAGACGATGACGACGAGAGAGAAGGAAGAAGAAGAAGAAGAAGAAGAAGAAGAAGAAGAAGAAGAAGAAGAAGAAGAAGAAGAAGAAGAAGAAGAAGAAGAAGAAGAAGAAGAAGAAGAAGAAGAAGAAGAAGAAGAAGAAGAAGAGAAGAAGAAGGACAGGGGAAAGGTTGAGAAGGAGGAGGAGGAGAGGAGAGAAGAAGAAGAAGAAGAAGAAGAAGAAGAAGAAGAAGAAGAAGAAGAAGAAGAAGAAGAAGAAGAAGAAGAAGAAGAAGAAGAAGACGATGGCGACGAGAGAGAAGGAAGAAGAAGAAGAAGAAGAAGAAGAAGAAGAAGAAGAAGAAGAAGAAGAAGAAGAAGAAGAAGAAGAAGAAGAAGAAGAAGAAGAAGTAGAAGAAGAAGAAGAAGAAGGACAGGGGGAAAGGTTGAGAAGGAGGAGGAGGAGGAGGAGAAGAAGAAGAAGAAGAAGAAGAAGAAGAAGAAGAAGAAGAAGAAGAAGAAGAAGAAGAAGAAGAAGAAGAAGAAGAAGAAGAAGAAGAAGGATGGGGGAAAAGGTTGAAGAGGAGTAGAAGAAGAAGAAGAAGAAGAAGAAGAAGAAGAAGAAGAAGAAGGATGGGGAAAAAGGTTGAAGAGGAGTAGAAGAACAACAACAATAAAAAGGTTACATAACATATCGGTGACATGAAGATCACTGGCAGAAGAGCCGGAAGTTGATACTAGCGGCGCAGACGAGCAGATTTCCGTGGCTGGCGCTGAGTGAATCATCTCTTCTTGTTCTTTCGGGATCACTGACTGGAGCGTCTTCGGCAGATTCAAAGTCTACTTATTCTTCACAGTGCTGACAGTTCTTGAAAAGTTCCATTCTTTTGCAGCCTAGTTGCATTTTCTACGTCGGCATTGTGTTTATTTCATAGTTGTTACGTCTACATTACACGGCAGCAACCATCATATTCATCATGACGGATGCCAGACAGGTAGGACTGTGATTGAAGAATCGTTGTCTCTGAGAAGTTATGATTTGTCTATATGTCTGGTCGTTTTTATCCCTTGTGGGATTCTTGTGCCTCATATGTCTTTTTTTAAGGAATATTTGTTTCTCGTTTGTCCGTATATGTGAAATGTTTGTGCAATTTCAATTTCTTTCTTGTAATTAATGTAATCATCCATCAGTCATTGTCATTGTTTTGTTGTCTCGGAGAAGTAGTTGTGTTGTGGAGAAGTCCTTGTCTTGGAGAAGTTTTGTGTTTGTGGATTCCTTGTCCTTGTCTTGGAGAAGTTGTGTTTGTAGATTTCTAGTCTTGGAGAAGTTGTGTGTTTGTAGATTCCTTGTCTCGAGAAGTTATGTGTTTGTGTTGTTAGAATCCCTTGTCTTGTAAACGTGTATTTGTAAAGCTCTTATTAAGTTATTTTGGAGAAGTATGTTTGTAAAGGTCTTTGAGAAGTTATATGAAATGTGTGTTTTTTGCAATCATTGTCCTGGAGAAGTTGTGCATTTGTAGAGCCCTAGTCTCGGAAAAGTTATGTGATTTCTGTTTGTGGAGTTATAAGTTATCTTCACAGCACTCCAGACATGTCCATATGTGCCCCTTTCAGCATATACATCAGCTTTTCACGGTTAATACTAGTCCTATGCTGGTTAATAAGGCTTCTTTTACTTTCAGTGTGTCTCTCATGCTTTGCTGTGCTTTACTCCCAATTCTCGTATTCTTTCCTCGACCTCCCAGATGATGCTCATACAATCACTCTGAACACACACTTGGGAAAAGTCAAGATTCTAGCCATATAACAGCTTATGTAACCTCCATCGTCATGTCGCTGGTAGTCATAGGCTTTGCTGGCTTCCTGGACTGTTGGGGCCTGCAGAGCGAGCTGTGAATGTGCATGCACTCTTGTATCCTTGTACAACAGACCAATCTGTATAGATCAGCACATCTGCCTCACCTAAATTGTCACAGAAAAGCCCATGGACCTCGGCATTGACAGCAACAGGATTCTGCTCCAGATAGCTCCTATCAAGGGTGACAACTCAGGAGAAGGTGCTGTTAAGTGCTTTAGGCACAGGTATCCATTCCTTGCAGGGTGGATCTCTGTTATATTGCAGATCTGCTTAAAATCATCCTCTGCCCTACCCAACCATGATTTGCCTTTTTGTAAGTGTGTCTGTTGTTCCTTTTTTGTGTTTGGGACTCCCATTTTGATGAATGATGGTTTTCTGGTGATATTCTTTTTCTTATAGTCCGTGCTGTATAGCGTTGGTAGTCATGTCTATCCACAACCTTCTGTCTTTGGTACTTTCAGTCGGTTTTGTGTACACAGATGATTTTCCATGCCATGATGTCAAACTGTTCAGCATTTTTTCTTTGTCTCCCTCTGCCTCTCTTCCTACCATCATGATATACTCCACTTTCTCCTTCTTTTGAGGTTTTGAACAACAGATCAACATCATGCCACACGGGCATAAACCCATATGTGCTCCGTTCTTCTTCTAACTTAAGTCGGTCCAAGAACCAGCACAGTGTGTAACCTGCACAGGGGGACGTCTGATTCCTACCCAAAACCCGGGAATTACTAAAGTCAAGCCTTTTGAAAACAATCACAACCCCCCCAGGGGGTTTTAAATTGGAACCTCTACACCGAGGTCCTCGAGGGCCAACCCCGCCCCCTCATGACATGACCAAAGTATGTAGATTTGTCTCCTTCTGGTGTGGGCGTCAATTCTATTCGTGAGTCGATTTATGTCGAGACATCTTCATTACTGTTTGTATATGTTTACTGTTTGTATCTGTTTGTTTGTATCTGTTTACTGTTTGTATCTGTTTACTGTTTGTATCTGTTGAGATTATTCTAGTCATTCGTCTGTAAAACATCTTCGCCACTTTCAGTTAATTTTTCATTAATCGTCCAGCTGTCCATGATTCTTGTCCATTGACAGATATTTGAGACAGTCTTGATTGTGTCTGGTGAATCAGTCTGACCTGTTGGACCCAGTTGTTTGAGGCGTATCTAACAATCCAACTGGAGAGTAATCAAGCACTCCAAGAATAGAGGTTACATTGTCTATCTCGGTTGTATTTTCCGGGTTTTGAATCCTCAAAAGTCCTTTTAACAAAACCCTTTTGGGGTTTTTTTAAACAAAGGCTCTAATTATGCTCTTCCTCTTTTAAAAACCCTTGACTCTCTTGAACCCCCTTGTCTCTCCTGAACCCCCTTGTCTTTCTTGAACCTCCCCCGCCCCCCCCCCCCCCCCCCCCTTTTTTTTCTTTAAACCCCTGTCTCTCCTGAACCCCCTTTTTTTCTTTCCCCTTTAAAACCCCCTTTTTCTATTTTCTGAACCCCCTTGTCCTTCCCGAAACCCCTTGTCTTTCTGAACCCTCCCCCCCCGTTTCTCCCCCCGAACCCCCCTTGCCTCCCCTAAACCCCCTTTTTCCCCTCTTTGAACCCCCTTTGCTCCTCTGAACCCCTTGTTTCCCGACCCCCTTGTCTCTTTGAAACCCCCCTTTTCTTTCTTTTAACCCCTTTTGTCTCCTTAAACATTTCTTGAACTCCCCCTTCCCCCTTGTTTATCTTGAACCGCCTTGTCTCTCTTGAATCTATATGCTAAGCAAATCGGTTATTTCCCTTGAATTCATTATTTTTATACTCATCTTCAGTTTTGCTTTTACCGCTTCGGGTATTGAGGG